ATATATATACATATACATATACATATATATATATCTTGTGCAATGTTTTCGCGAGTTCTTTCGAGTCTATCGTAAATATAGAAGGAAAACGTGGTGTGCGAGTAAAATATAAATCGTAAATCGTTTGGAATGTGATTGATCCGACTCTCGCGCCATCTCGAACTCGATCGCGAATCGGTAATGTTGTTCCAGTAATGTGGCCCGCATTGGTGGATTATCGCTATAACGTTCTGCTTTCGAGCGATAAGAATTTCACTCGCGATTCGGAAAAATATGCTATGCCAGATGGCTTTCAGGTACGTGAAAAGAGCGAATACCTAAAATTAATTTCTTCCATATCCGGCGGTAAGTTTATACTCGCTCGAACTCTAAATAAATAAACACGATACTAAGGTCACGAATAACGAGGGAAAAGAAGAAGGAAGGAAGGAAGGTTAGGTGTCGACTCGGAGGTAGTCGGGGGGAGGGGGAAGAAGAAATGGAAACGGTAATGGGAATGCGTGGAAAGTTAGAAAAAGAGGGAGGATATATATGTGTGTGTGTGGATGGAGCGATGAAAGTATGAAAATGAACAAGAAAGAAAAGAAAAAAGGATAAGAGAACGATAAATCCATTCGGAATGGGAAACCAAGTTATCGAGAATGAATGCAACGATGACAAACGTTACACGAACGGATTCACGATTCAACCATATTGTTCATATTTAACACGCGATCGCGCGAAACTGTTAATTCTTTCTTCCTTTATAATAATCTCGTATTCTTCCTCTCAATCTCTGTATACATATACACGTACGTAATGTATATATATATATATTTATATATATAATTCCTTGCTAAATCTCAGACTCTTTAACGATTATTCGTGGTAATACGTGCCACGAGATTACGCTGAAAATTTGTAATCGAGGCATCTTCTACGATCGTCGAGGATGCCCCGTTTCCTTCTCATCCTTTCGATTCATTGCGATCGTCGACACTGGGTGTCCTCTTGAGATCGTTGTATCTAACTATGATATATCTACACTTTACTTATACGCCTATATCGATTGGTTGATCTTTCTTCTCTTTCGCTCGATTTTTCCACTTTTTTTTTCCTTTTTTTCTATTTTTCTTTTTTTTTTCTTCGACAGTCTAAACAGGCCCAAAAGCCTGTTCCGAAACGAAGGAAGAAAAATCGACGAGAACGTCGATCCACGGAGGCGATCGATCGACGTTCCCGATTCTTCTTCTTCTTCTTCTTGTCCTTCTTCTTTTTCTTCTTCTTCTTCCTTCGGTTAGTCACGTTACTCCACATCGACTTTCCACATGGTGCCGTGTGCTCCCGTCTAGCTCGATTTCCCGCTCCGACGAACAAACGATGGATGATTCGAATCGATCATGGCCGTTAGACGTATAAAAAGATTACCGATCGATTCCTTTAATTTTTTTTTTTCTTTTTTTTATTTTTCTTTTTCTTTTTCTTTTTTTCTCGTTCGGACGAGAATGCTCGAGCTTGACAATTTTCGGCGAGAATTTTCGCGTCTTCTCGTTAGATAGACGGCATCGCGTGGACAGTTGCGGCGTACTTTAGATTATTTATAGATGATCGTAAGCCTGATCGAGACGCGCCTATTAACATTCGACTTTATTATGATACAACGAATAACGAATAAATCGAAAATCGCGGCGTGGCCCGATCACGCTTCTTCTCCTCGCTCCTCGATAATAATAATTAATTTAACGAATTAATTATCGTCGCCGCGTTCGTAGTTCTCGTTGATTAATATCCTACACGCTACGTCGTTTACGATGTACAATATCGATTAATTATCAAATTATTAATTCAATCATTAGAATTACTTTAGAATATTGGTACTCTTTCGCGTCATCTCCGTTTCATCATCTTTCTCTCTTTCTTTCTATCCTCTCTTCTTCGTTTATTCCGCACTCTTTCTTTTTCCCTTGCAGTCTCTCGCATTCTCGCTCTCACTCTCACTCTCGCACATACACATACACACACACACACTCTCTCTCTTTCTGACATTACGTTCCGGACGATTTAATCGCTACACGCATGTTTGTAGATTTTTATTGCGTTTCTTCGAAACGTTGGTCGCCTCTCTCTCTCTCTTCCTTCCCCACTCTTTCTCACTCAGGCACACACTCGTAAATAAGTAAGTACATTCGTGTAGACTCATACTCATTCTCTAGCCGTTCTCTCGCTCTCTAACGCGCAAATACAACATTCATCCCGCGCCACAACGTATTCGGTTACATGTTACGAAGAAAATTATACAGAGCGTTCTGCGCGACAGCGTCCGCATCGTCGTTTACATTTTGTCGGTTTTTACACCTTTCGTCGTAAAAGTATAGTTGAATCGTGAGTAGGGCCCTTGCTAATATATATTTATATAATATAAGTAAATATGTATAATAGGTACGTATAAATAAGTTTGTTTTGTACTATAAAGAAAATTAAAATGCCGAGGCGTCGAGGGGAAATTGCGCGGCGCCGAGAGAGTATTCGATGGCTCCGTGGTCGCAGTTATTGTTAATAAAAAAAAAAAAAAGTGGAAATCAAATTAAAATTTACGAAAAGAAAAAAAAGAAAAAAAAAAGGCCGGGGGGGCGAGGGGAAATTGCGCGGCGCCGAGAGAGTATTCGATGGCTCCGTGGCCGCCGTTATTGTTAATAAAAAAAAAAAAAAGTGGAAATCAAATTAAAATTTACGAAAAGAAAAAAAAGAAAAAAAAAAGGTAGAGAAAAATAAAAAATATTGCAACGAAATTGGAAGCGGTTTCCGATTGAAAATCGAAATAACGCGGTACCTATATATGTATATTTATCGCATAACGTCTCGCGGGAAAATACTCAGATCTTGATTTTATTTTCGTTTAGGTCGCGTTTTTTTTAACTCGATCGAAGTTAGCCCGTATTTCGCATCCTCGAACACTCTGTGGGCCGACCACGAGCTTCGTCCTCGACTCGAGATGATTTTTTTTTTTTTTTTCGTTTTTTTCTTTTTTTTCCCTAATAGAATGCGTTTGGTGAAAATCAGGTGGGTCTCGAAGAACGTGTTCGTGTTACGCGTGTGTCCGTGTTCATTCGCACCATCGTTCACTCATCCTCTCTCGCGCTCATCCTTTTTCGCTTCGTGTACGCGATATATATATATATACCGTCTGTATGTATAATTTTAGTAGTGTTAGAGTGTACGTCGTATTTAACGTCGTGTGTCGATACGAGTGTACGCGTGTATAATTGTTTTCTTCCTATAATGCACGGATCACGGCATTCGAAGGGCGATGCATCCACGCGAGTGCACGATTAGCAGCGGTCGTCTCCTTTCGGTTTTATTTTATTTTATCGTTTTATCATTCGTTTAATCAGTCACAGGAGCTTTTGCGTGGCGAACGCTTTTCCCGTCGGGACCAATGGAATCGAAATGAATCAGGAATGAATCAGGAGGAATTTTCTTTTCTTTTCTTTTTTTCTCGTCGTCCCGGGATCGTCATCGTCGTCGTCGTCGTCGTCGTCATCGTCATCGTCGTCGGCATTCGCTGGCAGTTGACCGAAGGGGAAGTTTTCGCGCGTTGCAAAAGTCATTCCGGTCGAAAGGTTTGACTCGAATAAAAGGGAAAAGGAGGTAGGAGGGAGAAAAGGCAGGGAGGG